TTTTTGGTGATTTTTTTCTTCAGCCAGAATGGATTAATTGCATTTCAATGCATTTTAATGGGAAATGGTGCTTCAATGTATGACCATTTTGACTTACACCCGTCTTCCTGAACCAATTAAGTTAGTAAGTCAAGGCACCACTGTAATGAATTAAACATGTTCCACATCCTCCTCTATTATGCAAAAATGGAAATGTTGGTACTGGACCAGCTTAACCTTGGTCTGAAAAATCTTATTTTTTTCAGACTGAGAACAAGCATTACAGCATGATGAGTGTGCTTTAGTTTTTTGTCCAAATGTTGAAAGAGCTCTCCAGGGTGCTGAACCTCTTTTAGGACACTCTTCAGTATCTTGAACAATGTCTGTAAAGTTCAGACTGAAACCCAGAGGCTATTCCTCACCTCTGCAGCATCAGAGTCAACAACCTCCGCCATATCATAGCTAGTCCAAAACATCTGGAGTGTACTAACGCATTGCCTACCCTTGTATTAATAAATCCAATATGGACAAGGCTAAAAATGCCACAACAGGCTTAAAGGCAGCTTTGGGTGGAATAAGAAGCCAGCAGGCATAAGTCAACAACAGTTATCAAGTTCCAAGGAGGGGAGTCCATTTGGGTATTCACACTGTACAGTGATTACATTGAGTTGGCTGTACAAGGAGAAAAAAACACCTGTCTATTTGTTTAGTGTTGCAGTGTTAAAAAATTAATCCTCTACCACTTGTGTCTTTACAAAGAAAAAAAAAAGACACTGTATTCAGTTTCAGCCAAGGGGAATTGTCATAGAGAACATGTGAGTCTTAAGAAAGAGCCATTGACTCACAAAAGAGACTCAGGTGCAGTCACTGCAGGACCAAAAGTGTTCACATCCTCTTCCACACAAAGCAGAGTGCCAACTTTTGAAAATAAAACAAAACAAAATAACACTATAATAAGAAACACTTGAAGAAAACTGTTATAAAATGTGCTTTAAAAATAGATAGACCTAGGGCATGCCACACTTTGTTACGGAGGATAAGTCCGGTCTCCCTCTCCCTCTCCCTTGCATTGTCTCTCCGGAATAGGCCTTGGATGTGCTGTCATAATTGCACAAAGGAATTGTTAAACAGTCTGGCAACTTGACCAGATAGAATTACGGATTAACTTCTACTGTTCAAAACAACAGTAACTTAGCCATGCATAATGTTGTATCTTCCCACACTGAGTCTGTATTGTTAAAAAGAGATTTGGATT